GTACCTCTGTCAAGAGCAGCATTAAACAAAAGGTAAATGATGATACCGTGAATTTTGATTTAAATTGAAGATACGCATTGAATTGATTCATTTTTATCTTCAGAAAAAAGAAGAAAAATGCGAGTAAATTTCAGAACATTATTAAAGGAGCGAAGAAAGGTGCGAAAATTGGAATGAAGCAAAGGAACAACTAAAGTATAATATACCATAAAAAAATTTTCAAAAACTATGCTTTTGTGGTATGAGTCTCTAATTATGAGTAGGTTTCACTGGCTATAAATTTGTAGATACATAAAATGCATGATATAAAGATGTACAAGAAATGACACTGAATTAAAAATCTGTGACGATTTATAACATATGTGGATTAATATTAACAGAAACACTTGAGAAATTGACATATTGTTTGAAAACAAAGTGACTTCGTTATAGAGCAAAAGAATTCCTATATTACTATTTATTTGTCTTGTGCAATCTGTTGACTACAAATTAGCGCTTACAAAAAGATCCTTTTACACAGATGGTTTAATTTATTGCATATTTCCATAGAACAAATATTGAAATCCTTACAACTGATACAAAATAACTTACAAATAATTATATTAATATAGGGTCCGGTCTTTTTTTTTGAAAGAAATTAATTATATGATCCTTAATTATATCCTAGAATTAATTAGATTCTATAATTAAGCACTTCTATTAAGCTAAAAGTATTTAAATATTTATGTAAACAGAAACTCACGTTTCTTTTGCATTAGCTCTTCTTAGGCAACATTCTTTCCAGCTCTCCAGATTCGTTCATTTCTTTTACAATATCCAATCCTCCAATGAGTTCTCCATTCACATATAATTGAGGATATGTTGGCCAATCACTAAATTTTTTAAGTCCTTCTCTAACATCATTATCTTGTAAAATATCAAACGTTTGGTAATCTGTCTTACAAGAATCTAAAATAGAGACTATTGTTCTAGAGAATCCGCAACGTGGAGTGGTAGGAGATCCTTTCATGAAAAGCATACAGGGCGCTTGATTTATTAATTTCTTTAGTCTTTCTTCGAGTTTTTCTTTAGGTTTACATGTATCAAAGGAAATAGAATCTTTATTGGTCAATAATTGGCGCTTAATTTTCTCCGTTATAGCTGCAGGATTAGCTCCATCGATTCTATCGACTATGGTATTATTTCTTGTGAGAACAACTGTTGGTACTGCACTGATACCAGCTTTCAAGGATACATCAGGTATTTTCTCAGCTTCAATCTTGGCGAACCTAACCCCCTGATACTCGGCCAGTTTGCTCATTTCTTCGATCACATCATTTATTTGCGAACACTGATCGGCCCAGGATGCGTAGAAATGAATGACAGAAAGATCTTGTGACCTGACACGACAAACGAACATGACCTTGAAAATCACCGACTTAGCAATTTCCCTAGTTTATCACAGAATTACATCGATAAAAAATTGTGAATTGTGAACTTTTTCACATCGAACGAAAATAATATAAAGTCGTAGTTATCTTTTGTTATATTGCAATATTTAATCTATTTCATCATAAAAGTAAAAATAAAAAATATTTTCTTTCGCTACTTTGAACAATATTTCGAGTCAAATTGAATTGAGATTAACTGAATCTTTTATACAATAATATGGTAAACAATGAATGATATTCATCGACTAGGTTATATTGTTTCTAGAAACTGAATTACTTATTATTTAGAATTACTCACTTGATGTAATTCTTGTATTCTTGTTCAGAATTAAGATTAGTGGTAGACATCCTGTCACTTTACTTTGTGTAATTGATAAACACGCGATAATATTATCAAGAAATATTCTGCAAATTCGTTTATTCACTACGACAGCTTCTACGCAACTTTTAACATCGCACTTATAAACGTTTTATATTCACAAATGCGAAACTACCGCGGCTGTGCAGTAGTTCGCCAATCCCCTACATTCTATAGTAGAATAGTTCTACTACACATGGTATTCTACAACAAACTTCATTAAATTTTTTTAATAATTTGTGAACAATACTAATTCATGGCTTAATTATCGTTACTATTTCTCTGTTATTTGACGAATAAAATAAATTGAAATGTTGTCAAGGAAATTATATGTATGTACACCAATTTTTGTTTGAATCTTCAATAAAAAAAGCACATAATATTTAAATTTAAACAATTTAGAAAACATTTAATTCAATATAAAAGATATAACATTTTTTTAGTGAAAATGGAACGAAAAGACAAATGTATTACACATTGTGAACTTGACTTTAAGCCACTGATTCTCAACCGAAAGGTAACGTAAACAAGAATTTATTCTATAATTTATTCCACGGTCATATAAGATCTCGACACTCATATACCGAAGCCTAGGGAAAATCTGGAAATTGAGTCTCGACTAGTTATAAAAAATCAATGTGGAAAACAAGAAGTTCTGTGCATGCGTGACATGCTATGAATGCCTTAAATGGAGACAAAGACGTCCTACTTATCTCTGTCATTCTCGCAAGAACACGGACTTTGTTGATCTTTCAATGTTGATTTTTCAATGCTATATACGACTCAGTTTTTGGGCGGTTTTCCCTAATGAGTGTGCAGATCTGTTTATATAATCATGGTTTATCCAATGGGACGAGTCGGAAGAGGTACATAAAATCTCAAAATCTAGGGGAAACCAAAATTCAATTCATAGTTTGTAACACATAAAATGGAAAGCTATTTTACCAAACATTAATTCCCCAATGAATATATCTCTCTAAGATGTTAACTGTAATAACCTGTAAAGAAGCTATGCAACGATATCGAAGAACGTACTATGATAAATCGTAGTATAACTTGATTTTTACTTGGTCAAGCAGTACAGTAATGTTCCGTTAATTGTTCAAGTGAATGGAACCTCATATGTGCAGTTATGGAAAGAAATACATTTCTAAGAAATCCCAAGTATTTCTCCCTTTATTTAGATAGTAAAAATTCGCTCCACAAAAGGAATTTAAAAAACTAGTAAGTGTAACGATGACCACTTAAAGGAACAAGAAGCCAGTTAATTTGTCATTAGATATTACCGATTTTCGTTCAGTAACTCTCGAAATATCGTAAGGGAGGAATTCTGCAAACTGAGAACCACTGGTACCAGATCGTATCGGCTAAAACAGGTGCACCATAAGAAAGTGACCAATCGGAATGGCGATGGCTAGCTCGTCATACGGATGTATGAGATAGTCGTCAATGGACGTCAGTAGAACGAGTGGGGCAGGGGAGGAAAATACGAAGCAGCGAGGGTTGTCAAGAGTCAAGACTCAAGACACCTCGCCCACAAAAACCAGATGCCAGATGCAGATGCGACTGGGCGGTGAACACGTGCGACGCTTTTTTGTCACGGTCGCGTGAACACGCGGTGCAATGTTCAAAAAGTTGTCGCGAAGCGACGCTCTTGAGGACATATCGAATTGGAGCACCAATGATGTGTTGTGCCTACTTCGAAAGGTAAGTAAACTCTGATTCAGTGAAAAGTCATCTTTGAAATTGTCAGTGGCGAATTGATTGACACGAACTCGATACCGAAATCTCAGACGAATTCGTAGAATATAATCATAAGAAGGATTGGAATAATTATAATATTTATAATTTAAAAACTTAAATATTTTCTATTAATAACGAGTTTCGTCTCAGTATGTTTTATCCAATGTTTACAATAAATGATTCGATAAGATCCTGCGTGTATAATTTGTTGCTACGTTTCGTGAACGATAAATATATAGCAAAAGCAAAGCGTTAATGTACGTTGAATTATTTGCGTAAATCGGTAGATAGGGAAACGATCAATAAACATGTGTTTTTTTCCCTTCGTGACGTCTCAGAACGAGTTAGTTCACCTTACACTGCCTGTCACACTGCATGACACATTAAGAATATCAAAGTTCGCATATGAAACTCATGTGTACAAACAATGGTTCACGTGCGTATTTTTAATTAATACGGAATGTGTATATGAGGTTTACGTTCAACGTTATACGTACTTTCTTTTTATTTTCATAAAATCATGCGACTAGAATACAAAAAGCCACTGAACTCGTGTGAACATGATCGAGCAACGAAAGTATACCGACCGAGTATACCGTTCAAAAGCAAACACTTCGATTGTAAACTAACATATAAAAATATCAAACACGGATAAAATATCAAACACGGTAATGTAATCACAAAATAAGACGATAATGTAATTTTCAATGAGAACACATAGAGTATTCGCGTTATTAATTATGTAATGTAACTTTTCAATGAGGACATATAGGAGTATTCACGTTATTAGTTGTCAACATTTTCATCGTAAATGTTAAATTTGTGATATTTTATTTTAGTAACTTTGAACTGTATTGTGTTATAAGTCGTTGTACTCGTTCTAATGTATAAGGAAATATAAAAAATATTATAATTGTCAATTTAAAAATATCTATGGTTTTTCTATTGCATGAAAATAATAGGATATTAAAAATTCTATTCGTCGTATCACGTACAAAAAGTAGTGAAGCTTGCTTCCTCTAACTTTCTCAAAAATGTATCACTTACGAGGAAAACGAAGGAAATTAATAGAACGAACATCGCGTACACGTATCTATTATATTTCATTGAACTTCGCGCGACAAATTCAAAAGCTGAAGTCAGACAACGTACGACACGCGTTTAATTCAATAGAAGATTCAATAGATGCAACGATAGAACTAACATGATCGAAGAATTTAGGCTGTCATATACACGTGTACAAGACTAAACTTGGTAAAATTCTGAGAAATATGTAGTATCGATTCTAGTCAATTCAAACAGCAGTACAATAACGCACAAACAATAAAGTAAAGATAGTTTGCATACAGGGTGCATCCTCTGATTATAAAATTAGCTATCATTTTTCAGCTATTTCTGTTCATTCGTAAAGAAATGTTTTGAAGAAAAGTTAGTCAGTTTCCGGTCTGCTACACATTTGGATATTAACAATTCTCCAAAAATTTTTGTTTCAATAAAAAATCAAGGTCAGTCTTGTGACCCTTTTAAAATGGCATCATATATTTTAGATTTGATGAAAGGTGGCCTTGACTTTTTCTCGAAAAAAGAAATTTTGAAAATGTGTGACAGACGGAAAACTGACTAATTTTTGCAAACATTTTGAAAACATTTCCTTGATATATTATCGGAAATATGTGAAAATGAAAATGAGAAATGAATATGAGAAAATGAAAAAAGAGGGTACGCTCTGTATATTTAACTGGTTTGCTTTATCGTCGTAATGTAAATATTTGCACAAGATACATGTGTGCTCCTTATCGTTTTATCAGCGATGCACGTTCTGTTTGATAGAACGAGTTATCCTTGCTTTTGCAGAATGGGCTGCAGGAGTGCTGTAAAGCCATCACAAAACGGCAGGTCGATGGCGACGAGCTGCTGGTAAGGAAGGTCTTCCTACACAGTTTCTTTTTTTCCCTTTTCATTCACGCCTCGTTGATTAACATCTGTGCCATCTATAGCTACGTTGATACAATGGTACATCGATAACTACTTATACGGGTTGATGATGAAACGTTTATAAACATAATGAGTTCGTTTATCGCGAACTTTTAAATCCTCAAATCAAATTAACTTTTAATCGATTAAGATTATCGCGTCTCAGTAGAATGCAAATAAAAAAGAAATCACCAAAACTTTTTTTCATAGAGACAATTATTGAAAAAAATAAGCGAAAGACATTTGTAGTGGTTGACTTGTAAAAATATTTTAGGAATATGTCGTACATGTACGTTTTTTAAACATTTTGAAACTCCATCACGTCTGTCATGATCATATTACCAAAGTTTGAAATAAATCTGGATGTATATGTATATATTTAGAAATTGCAAGATATCTGACACAGGTATATACATATTATATAGATACAGATACATATAGATATTTAAATTTCAAATTATTCGCTACATCAACATCGATAGTTTCGATATCTCGATATCAAAAGATCATCTGTAATACTAGTTACCGTATGCTTAGGACGATTATTCAGGCTGTATATTAATTTTTTATCGGATATTGTAGGTGTTTCGCGTTTCGCCAATTAATACTCCAATTAATAGAAACTCGAATATTAGTTTACATCTTTTTCTTAAATCGTACAATGCAAAGAAAAAGAAATATCTAGCCCGTTGAATAAAGAGAAAATGCGCGTAGAATGCAGCGAGCATCGAGCGGTTTCATTCATAATTCGTGTCGTTATTTCGTTTCCAACCGGCGCGTGCTCTCTTATACTCTTCTTAATTAATTGTAATTATTCCAGCACTTGACGGAAGGGAAGCTGGCGTTGTGGAAGAGTGATCTCACGCGTCCATTGATATGGTAAGAGAACGAAATATCAGACGTGTCTTACTTCTTCGTGAAAAATGGTGGAACAGCGTGAACTTGTTCCCGTGACCAAGTAGAATCCCGAAGCTCCGTGTCACGGTCTAACGGTTCTTCTCTACAAATCATCTTCCCGAGACACACCTTCGAATCGTGATCCGATCCAGTCGTGATCCACGATTTCTCAGAGGACTCTATTCTGGATAACTCGAAGATCTCCCGGACCAGTGATTTTATTGATTCGTGAAATCTATAAAATAAAATCACTCTGCTTACTTAGCTTACTTATTGCATGTAGTCGAAATTGGAAATGCAAATACTTCCATCCTGGACTTTCTATATTTTTTAATACTTAGAAAATAGTAAAGTCAATGTTATATTTAACATTCATAAATATTAATTTATTTACGATAGAACGTAATCAAATTAACGTATCTATTGTATTTCCATAATTTGAAATACTCGAGTCTATTTTTTATTATCAAAAATATAAGTGTAACGTGAAACGCAAACAAATACGATAGCGGATAAAATTCACGAATAATTGTACTCTCTCACCAATTATTTTCATTAGAATTTCTTATTCGACAACTGTAATAAGTTGCAATTTTACTTGAAAATTGAAAACTGAAAACAGAAAAGCTCCTCTGACCATTCTGCTTCACCTTACAATTAGTTAAAACGCTTCGTCTAACATTTTGCTTATTTCTCAATATATCTTAAAATATTCTGCGTTTTCTGCGTTTCTTTTTCTTTTTTTTTTTTTTTTGCTTTTGAGTATAGATATATTATACAGGTTGTTACGAAATAATGGCTAAATATTTTAAATTGAAGAATGTTTCGATATGATAGATAGAATATTTTAACTGCATAACGAGGGCAGCAATATTATGAGTCAGCATGCAGAAAAATTCACATGTTTCTGAATCAGCATTACGGATATAAGCACTATTGGGTACCAAGCAATAATTTATAGAGAAAAACAATAGAATTTGACGACATAGGTCGATGAAAAAAGAAAAGAATTGAAAGTGAAATGTTATTGCGTTGACGCAACGTTGATCGATGAATCGTTAATTCTGGTAAAAAGAGAATGTGAAACTTGAAATCGAAAAAACGATGCAGGTGTTAAGACGTGCGTTCTACTTCCATTCTATTATTGAATTTCGTATGAACAAAAGAGTTGTATCGTCATTAGATACTGTATTTAACAGGTTATAATTACATATACGCTGAGATTGATGTGTTTGCATTCTATCGATATTAGAATAGCTATTCGAGTGAGTAATTCTAAGCATCGCGGAGGCTTGAGTCGGTGAAAAATTTGGCGAGCGACGATGCTATAGAAAGCGTCGCGGGACACAGTATGCATACTGAGAGGAAGGTTCAACGGCTCGACGAAAATCGTAATACATATGGCACGGCTAGCACTTCCGAAGGCCATGCTAACAAGACAGTATGGCTCCGATTATACAAACCGGTGCCATAAGTGCGTAATTCTATCGTGTGGGACGCCCTCGATCATCCAATATCGTCACTGACGCCACAAAATTTATTATCTTCTTTTATTAAGGAAATTCCACTTGACAACAACACGACTGTTAACGCAGCGACATTACCATGCACCACTCCTAATAATAATTAGAAGATAACGTTTCTAAAAAATTCGAATGGTGTAGAACAGAGACGTTAAAAGCTACGATATTTAATATTATTACAACAGCATTTGATATCGCTCGTGCGAAAGAGTCTGGTCAAATATTTCTGGCTAATTTTAAATGCATTGATTTAGCCATTATTTCTACGTTTAATATAACACGTTTCCATGCGGTGTAATATATAATTTATGGATTGTTCGGAACAATTGGACGATTCTTCTCCGTGTCATTTTGATTTTTATATTCGTTATTTGTTGTTTACATATCTTTCTTCTAACAATTTCCTCAAAGTCAATCTTTATCGCATAATACGAGTAAGATGTACTTATGTCCGATGTTAGTTAAAGTTTCTCTGCTCTCTGATCTCTCCTCTTAGACAAAAACTTGTAAAATTAAAGAAGGTCGTTCTATCTACTTGTCTATTAAAGACTTCAGTTATACGATCCTTCGATTACTCCAAACAGTATATCAATAACAAATTGTATCATTCGAAATATTTATTAATTGTTTAGGAGTCTCTGGACATTCGTGGAGGAAGTAAAGAAGACACCTGAAAAATTCGTAGAAGAAAAGATACTCGAGATTCAATCGAACGAGGACCCCTTAAGCGACACCGGATCCTGGGGAACCGATTTCGAAGACGAAGCAAACGAGGAAAATACCTTAGCAGAAACTCAGAAAGTTTCTCGATCAAATTATGGAGCCAAAAGTAACAACCATAAAGAAAATAACGCGGACCTTAAACAAGAAGATGTCCGAGCAAAGGAAGCAAGGTCTAGGCAAGGGGAAGAAGGAACTTACGCCAATTGTGGTCCCATGCAGAATGACGAGAGCACGTATGCAAATTGTCAGGAGACAAGCACTGTGCCATTAAAGAATACGTCCAGATTGCATAGCCAAATGGAAAAGTCTCTGGCCGAGCAACTTAAAGAACAATTAGAATTTAGAAATACCAAAAAGCCAATGGCGGTACCGAAGTCTGAAGCATTGAAAGGAAAAAACGTGGAGGTCTCGGTTCTGAATGTTACTCAACCCCGGAAATCGTTTCTGCATAATGCGTCGAAAACCAGGACGAACAACTCTAATCAGAGTTAGTAAGGATTATATTAGTAAGAAAAGAAAAAGATCACGAAGCTTTCAATCTTTAATTGTATATTTAACATCACTGATTAGCGTTTTTTTAAACAGTGAAAAAGAAAGAAAAGATTATAGTCGTGAAATGATTCTGGCGTTCTATCGTTTTTTAAAATTAATCGAAAGCTCAAGATCATTGAATCGTATCTCTCTATGATGTTATTTTATCCAAGATGTGAGAGGTGATCTAAAAAAAAAAAAGTCGAATAATTTAACAAATAATTCCTTTCTTAACCAATGGTTTCAGAAAGAATGACAGTTCCACCGCCACCACAGCCAAAAAAGAACAAAGACCAAACGATCGTTGAAAAATCGAGCAAAGACCAAACAAAGCCTCCTGCAACGCTTAGGAACCTCGATCTGGTTGCGAATTTGCCTACAAGAACGGAAGAGAGCGAAGACGAGTATGAAGCGTTTGATGAACAAATAATCGAACAAAATCAAAAGAAGAACATGTTGAAGGTGGACAGTAAGCAATCGTTGAGCAGCGGTCATCAAAGTTCCGCGGAGAGTGTTTATCAACCACCAAGTATTACGAGCTACGAGGAAGAAGAAGAACATTACGAGATTTACGAATCGATTACGGAAACAGTAAGCATATAAATTCTATCTTCCTTTTATGATAATTAATTCGATGAAAAATTGAACGGAAGTTACTTTTCCAGTCAGATGATAATGGGTACTATTTAAATCCCATTCAGAGGCCGATAAATACAAAATCACCCCCGCCATTACCAGCAAAACCTCCCCAGTCATCAACTACCCCCTCTCCAACTCCAACTCCAAGTCGAACAGATCTGGACAAACTAAAGGGTTTGTATAATATTTATAATCAGTTAACATAATATATATATATATATATGTATACATAATTTTTTAACCCCTTATAGCAATATTGTTTAATTGTCCTGTATGTGTACAAAATGATACTGGTAAATATTAAGAAAGTTGTTTCCATGATACGATAAAATTACGTCTCATGCCAGTGTGAATACCAAAATAAAGAAAGTAATTAGACTGAAATCGTTGAAGATAGAAAATGCAACGTGTTACGAGGAACGAAGCAAAAAGTGCAGGCTGCATTATATTAAAATAATAAAAAACTCTCGGTGTCTCAACTTCTCATAAACATGTGCGTGGCAACTGGCTGGCCCCCAATATCTCTGCAACCTGATGCGCATTGCAATTGCAGCCAGTCATGGATGAACTATCGTTCCCATTATCTCGAGTCGTTCTCTGCCGATATATTTAGACATTTCAAATCAAATTTGACAATTCGAATTACCAAAAAATTCAAATTTTCAGTGATAACAATTCGTTAAGATAAACAAGAACGCGTGTGAATTATTACGTATACTGTATGCAAACCATACTGTAATACTAATAATATGAATAGCAACAGGGACAAGTGCAGTGTTTCAAAGCTGTTGTTTAAACAGAAGAGCAATGCTTCGAAGAGATTACGATTTCCTAAAAGCTAATTATACAAAAGCTTAACATTCAAATCTTATCACTGTAAACGGAAGAGGAAACAGTGGGATGGAATGTGTTTTTATCTGAGATTGAGCAAACAGCTTTTGGGAGGTTTGGGCGCTCGTCTGGCGGATGAGGTTTCCGATATGATAGTGAGGATCAAACGGGGGCTTTCACGGTGTTGTTACTCCCAACCACCTGATCCACCAGGTACAACAACCTCTTGCGAAGCAAATTCTTCGCGTGCCACATTGTTTGCGCATTCTTTCGTATACTTGTATACACATTGACTATGCATACTTGAAAGATAGGATCATCAAATTCCTCAGTAGAAACGCTCGACTTTTTCTTACAAAATTGGAAATACCTCAAGACTTAGAGCAACCTGAAAATAAGTACGAAGTAAGCGATATATTTTTAAACTTTGAAGAGACGGGGTGCCCCATACTGAGAGACCAACGGATGGCCGAGCTTTGTTGTTTATTCGGCCGAGCCTTGGATTAAACGTCAGTCCGTGTATTAATTTCGAAGAGTTCGGTCGTTTGTAGTTCTTCTGTCGCAACTCTCTAGCAACTTCTCTCTGTAGCAATTTTTAAACATTGCGAGAGATTTCTTCAGTAGCTTTTTCCCAGCGATTGATTATTTATTGGTTTGTAGTAGAAGATTTCAATTTTGTACGGATGGACTAAAATTTCAAATCTATCGACTAACAGTGTTCGTTATAAATTGTTTAGAATTCTGTATTCGATATTACAATTTAGATACATTGCATACAAAAAAATTCTAGCTGATATTTATTCCTGATTCTGCTTACGGTGTTTAGGATAATTCACAAGCGAAACCGACTAAGAAAACACTGTTTTCCTTTAATTCTTTCTTCGAATTCAAGATTGGACGACACTGAGCGTACTCAGTAAACGTGAAATTTGTGTATAGTTATATCGCCAGGTAATGAATAGAATGAGATTCGACGATGATATGTCGGTGCACATTCTTCTGGTAAATGTGATTAAAATTTTTCCGATAAAATTGCAAATAGTTTGTTCACTCTCTGAGTGAACGTGAAGGTTTTACGAAAATGGCAGCCTTAATTGGAGACCCAAAACGAAACGTGTCCTTAAACACCGCGATTCGTCGTCAGGCGAGTCTCTCAGAATGTTTAACTCAGGCAGCCCTCACTCAAGCCCGCCTGAATCTATCAAGTTAGTGAAACATTGGCCTCAAACTATAGTAAATTTGACTGTATCTTCAAAATAATAAATTAATAAATTATATGAATCTCCCATAGAATATTTAATAGATCCAAAAAATTATTATGTTGCGTGAGATTTTAGTGTACCTAACGTGTTCTGTGTTGCTTTCAGAGAGATCTCCTGAGAAGAAATCGGCCACATTGCCTCATTCTCATAGCAATACTTCTTTGTCATCGGAAAGGGCTACGAGACCACTACCTCCACCGCCTGAGAGACAATCATACGTTGATAAGCCTTGGTTCCACAATGTTACCAGAGAACAAGCAACAAGTCTTATCAAAGAACGTGAGTCCTTGTCGTAAGTCAAATAAACTCAAAGCAAGAATAATAACCATCATTAACATTTTATAAAAATAATCAAGTGCTTCAACTTCACTTAGTTTGCGTTTTTTCATTAGATTATACACTAATTATGAATGAATTTGCTATGTTTAGAAAGTACTTACAGTAATCCTCAAGACGGATACTTTCTCCTGAGACCGTCTACGACAAAAGTGAATAATCCTTTGGCTTTGGTGCTCTGGTACAAGGATAGGGTGTATAACGTTCCAGTCAGGAAGAGACCTGACAATAGGTAAGGTATTCCTTGTCCGTATAAATATCTTTGCTGAGTACCGGACTTGTTCTAATAATAATAAATAAACAAATAATTAGAAAGAAATGATTAAATCTATAGTTATAACTAACAATTCAATAAGAAAATCTCTCCAAAAATATTAAATAAAATATTATTAACTTAAAGACTACCTTTGGTGAAAGTTCACTCTAGTATTTTGAAAAAGTTTTAAAAGTCAAGCAATTAAACAAGGGAATTTATCATTATTCAATATTAGATGAAGAATAGAAATGATATTGTTTGCAATAATTACTTCAATAACATTGCGATGATAATATTGATAATATTAAATGATACCAGTGATACTGATAATATAATGATGATATTAAAATAAAGCTCGTATAGGGTGAAACTTCACACATGACAGTGTCTCTAAGGATTAAAAGAATTTTTATAATATTTGTTTTAGCAGAAAGTAAGAAAGAGTTGATAAGGAATTGAATAAAAGTGAATATCATATATCTGTCAAATAGGTACGCATTAGGATCAGCAAAAGTAAATGAGAAATCGTTTTCGAATGTCGAGGAAATCGTAATGTTTTACACGCGAGAGGAACTTGTGCTTCATAGCGGTGGCGTGGAAATGGGGAGCACGAAATTAACAGATACTCCGCCTAAATAAGCCTTTGAATGCTCTCACATACCAGCTTATGCAATACAAACACTGCCCAAATACGAATTTTAAAAGGAATTAAAGATCAGACACGATGGTTTTGCGTGTATAATATTTATTCAACAAGTGCCTTTTGTACTCGTCATCCGTCGAAAATCAACTTTGTATATTTTTGATAAGATTCGAATGCATTCATATGAACTGTGACACGCATATGGAGAAACGTTTGATATCTACAAGGAAGAAAGAAAACAAATAGATCTCTCGACGATATGAATTGCATATATTTTTAATACTAACATTTACAAGCAGTACTTTAATGTTGAATTTGCAAATTGGCAATGAGATTTGAGGAGCATCGATGTATGGTAGTTGTTATTTTTGTAACAGAAAGAACAATCACTTTGTACACATATCGATATTATCATTTTTGTATACTTGCTGCTGTAGGTTTGTTTTTATAAGATAATTCGAGAAAATGAAATTTCAGAAGTTAAGCAGTGATATATATATATGCTATAGATTTGTAAATAATATCTTTTAAACAGTAGTATTTCGAGATACTGCCGAAAAAGTTTCGTATCGTGTTTTGTTTGGTTTATTATAATTTTAACTTAAGGAAATAAATCTAGATCGAAGAAGAAGTAACTACTCTTTATTGCTATTGGTTGCGTAAAAAGAAACATGTTTGATTATAAAAAGTGATTATGTATATAAGAAATACTTTAAGAATAATGTGATCTGTACCACAATTCATAAGGTAACTCGAGATAAATTGACAATTGTAGATATATTTCAAGAGGTATGTTAAATTTATAAACGATGGAAGAAAATATATCGTAATCAAGAAAGGTTAATAGAAAAGAACATCAAGGTCGTTTTAAGATTACCTTTTTCATTAATTGCCATATGTGGAGGTCTAAAAATTTCACAAACAAAGATCAAAAGCTACACAGGGTTAAAGACAAATTCAGTATTTTACAGTAATCAGTTTTATTATAATAACGAAACTTAATTAGACTGAATTGATACCAATTACTTACTAGACTGTTAAGTGCCATATTTAAATGAACACAAAAAACGACCTTGAAACCTTTCTTCTTTTTATATCTAAATTTGTTGAACCCGACGTACATACTTTTCGATATTATATATATCGGTATACAGATTAACGGATCAACCAATAGATTGTAATCTATGCATTTATATTTTGCCATGTCATTGTGAGAATAAAAGATAATTTTTCAAAAAAGACGAAAAAGTTTTCTATTGGAATTCTTTTCCTGATTTATTATAAATATTTAATAAAATCTTTATTCTGTAGACGTTTCTACATCAGATGAAAATTAAACGTGGAATCGTGAATGCGTGGAATCAATTAGCTGTTTCTATGCGATCTACGGTACTCATAAAAAGTATGATTACGTACTTTTTCAATGAAGCGTTTTTCTATTAAATTCTATATTTCATGTTGATAGTATTAAATTTTTGTAGTAACATGAAAGTATTATTAAATGAAACGAAATTTAATATACTGGGGCTTAATTAATTATTATGTAAGTGTTTTAATGAAGTACAATTATATACGAATGCCTTTTACGGATACCTATGTTCTTCGTTTATCGATGCTAACACGATTGAAACTAATCAAAAATTAAATTCGAATTGATCAGTCGACAGTTTATTACTCAGTCGTGTTTATCTCGAAACTACGTTCGGCGATTGATAACGATAACATCAATTAAGTAAACACTCGTGTAATCAAGTTCCCAGCTTTCTAGTTGAGTTTTAGACGATTACACGAGATCTCTTATTGTGTGAATTGGCTTTCAATCGTGGAGAAAACGAATCGATGCATTATACATATGTACATAACGTAATTCGAAGTCACATTCTGAAATCAACCTTGGGTGGACGGTGGTTCCATGCAGTAAATGTGTGCGCGTGAACTTTGAACCAGTTACTTAACAACTGCAACACAATTAAGAAGAGCACAATGCTAGACAACTCGTGTATCTGATATTCCTTGATAAGACATGCGCTCGGCGCAAGGCATGAACCTCGATTCATACATACATGTTGTTCGTTCAATATCCTGTAATTATATAATTTGATAACACACGTGAGAAGCAAATTGTGTATCATAAAGCGTTTGATGCGTTATCTCTACATACTACGACGATAATAATTTTCTAACGAAAAATAAACTACGATTCACTTAAGCAATGATACGGTACGCTTCGTAATATTTTTAATGTACGGATCATTTAAATTCCACCATATATTGCTGAAACAGTGATAGATTGGGCTGAATCATGAAAGATCGGGAAAAGAACGCAATTTGAATGTATTTTGCGCGGGAATCTGTGGTCAGAAATCTCTTTTCATAGGCAAAGAACGATGTATTTGAAAAATTCCCTAGCTGCTGCAGGTCTGGTTACTTTTGTGACGTCACGTCGCTTGCGGACAATGACGTAGTGGGAGGGTGTATAATATAGTTATATTTATATAGTAGTGAGTAGTGAAACATATACGACAGGTTTGTGCGCACCACTCGGTTAAGTACTTGTAACTGAATGTCAATTGAGCGGTCCATTTAGCTTGTCACTTAAAGCTTTTCAAGCGATATCTCTCACGGATCCGGGACGTTGTATAAAAAATGCTAATCGTTTCGAAATCGTGAAAAATCACGGCTCGAGATCGTTTGATTTCGTTCCGTCAATTTTCGCGGACGATGCGATAAAAACAACACTGACATGAGTCAGTCATCGAAGAAGCGTAATTCCGAGCGGGAATACCGAATGGTGCGTTAAAGATAAGAGTGTCAATCGCTGGAGAAATCGGTCTGGGGAGCAATGGAAGATGAACAACCAGCGAGAGAGACGAATAAGATTTGCGGTGTGTGTGGCGATCGTGCGCTCGGTTACAATTTCAACGCGGTTTCGTGCGAAAGTTGTAAAGCTTTCTTCCGACGAAATGCTTTGAAAAATAAGGTGATTAATTTAGAAGATTTATAGAAAATATTTCTTCAAATAAAATTTAAGCCGCACGTAGACCCTTCAAAATATGGTATACATATTTCATCAAAACAATTTCCATATGATTCAATACACTTTTCCAATGACTTTTGTTATTTTAGATTTTTCTAAATGACCAGCTCTAAAATTCAAAATCTGTCAGAAATATTGTTTAGCTAGAGTAGATGATATCTTTAGTCTTCCCCAAATGCTACATTCATTCCTCGTGTTTTATGGAATATTTGCCAACTGTAAAGTCATAAAATAAAATTACATGAATATTCTTGTTGTTCGGTTAAATGAGTGATATTTTTATTATGAATTTTCTTCTTAGTTAGTATTGCTCCATCAAGTTCAAACTTTGGGAAGATTACATATCATATCTAATAATCTGATATTTCATCTTTCATGGTCGCTGATCTAATTCAACATTTCTATTTTGACAAATGATTTTCATATTAGATATTTCATAAAGGAGGTGACATAATTGTAGATATCAAATGTAGTATAAGTAATTGTAATACAGTGATTAGAAGATAAAAGTGTAATCAATATTTATATCATAATGTTCTTGAACTACTCAATAGATAATAAAAGATACGTTTGCTTAATTTATTCATTTAGAATTATTGTTGTATTTTTACAGGATTTTAGGTGTCCATTTACTGAAAATTGTAATATAACACCAGTCACTAGACGCTTTTGTCAAAAATGTCGCCTAGATAAGTGCTTCAGCATAGGCATGAGGAAGGAATATATTATGTCTGAGGAGGACAAAGTACTGAAGAGACAAAAAATAGAACAGAATCGTGCAAAGAAAAGACCAACCTTGGAAAGTGCAAAACCATCAAAAATAAAAAAAGGTTACTTGGATGAGTGTAATTTTGATGACACTTCTATGTCAGTTAATTCAGTTGTGTCAACTGCATCAGACACATACTTTTGGGAGTCTGATAGAAAATATACAGATTTAGATGCAAATAGACAGAATGTAACCGAAAGCTTAAGTCCTGTAACAGCTGCAAGCGTACCAAGTCCTTCTAGTCCACCGGAAAATGGAGCCATAAGTGGGTCAAAGACACTAGATATGATGAAAGACTCTACCCATAACTCAAACTCAAACTTTGAAAATTATGATCATACTTCTTCACCTCGTGGCGAAGAGAATGATGTTGATGCTGAAAGGTTGAGAATGGATTTCAATTCTCCTTCTCAAAATCAACAAAGGTTAGACAAAGTTAAATCTCCATCTCATAATTTAGAAAAAAGTAAGAAGTCAGTAATAGGTTCGAGAAAATCTGACCAAAATATATCAGACCTGAATTCTGAGTTTGCTTCTACTAATAATGAATCTATGAAATATTCTCCTGAATTTGAAAATGCATCTTGCTACAACAAGTTTGATTGTAGCCCTGTACAGAGTTCCCAATATATTGAGCACACATCACATTATAGGAAAATGAGCATAGATACGAATTCAGGAATGCACACGAGCGTGCAAAATTCAGAAGAAGTAGTGCTTAGTCAAAAACAGAATAAGGAAACGTGTTCAGAAGAAGACAATTTTATTAGTAATAAATTCTCGCAAGATTCCACTCTGATCACAAAACTTGTTAATAATTCAAATTTTATCACGAAAATATTTCAAAACGAAGAATTACTTATAAAGATTATGTCAGACCCTGTTGTTATTAGCAAATTAGAAGCAGATCCCCAGATTTCGCACTTTTTCAAAAAAACCGGTGTCGTCACAGATAAAGAAGCACCATCTGAGAAAGAAGCAAGTACTCAGTATAAAGATGATGTAAAACCAGGTAACAATAATTCCAGTCACACGTTTAAACCAATATTAAAAGTTAAACAGAAACAAGTAGAAAATCCTATTTTGACCGATTTAATTACGAATTCGAGTCAAGAGGAATGTATAAAGCAACGGGATAATAGTAGTGATTGGAACAGAAATCTATCGGATGTCACAAGAGACGTACTTCAAGATGTGCAAAGGTATAATCGAGATTCACATTTGCTTAATGTCTGAAAAATAATTATACCACAGACTCTATCTATGAATTATATTTCAGAGTACCAATTGCTGTGAATTCCATTGAATCTATACTTTGTGAAGCGATTAAATTAGAGTTTTCAACATATTCTGCTCTCGGCGGTATGGAGACCAGAAGGGTATTGAACGATGCTGAAAGAGCAAAGTTAAATGAATTAATAGTAGCCAACAAGGCGTTATTAGCTCCTCTAGACGAGGATATAACGAATTTAATCGGAGAAGACTGTAAATTTAAGGTAATAGTTACTATAGCTTAAGAAACAGACTTATACGTTGACATTTATTAAATTGTGTATTCGGTTTCAGAACAATTTCGGCCGATCTGACCCCGCACTATTAGACGTTATAAATCTTACTGCCATTGCTATTAGACGCTTGATAAAGATGGCGAAAAAGATAAATGCCTTCAAAAATATGTGTCAGGAGGACCAAATAGCTCTTTTGAAGGGTGGTTCCACGGAAATGATGATTTTAAGATCAGCACTCAATTACGATGTTGAGAAAGATATGTGGTGGATACCGCATAGTCAAGAAAGTATGTCCAATATAAAGGTGGACGTGTTAAAAGAAGCAAAAGGGAATCTTTATACAGAGCATTCAAGATTTATTAGAAGTTTCGATCCTAGGTGGAGAGATGAGAATATTATTTTGATTTTAAGCGCAATTGCTTTATTTACACCAGACAGACCGAAGGTAGTGCATAATGATGTAATTAAATTGGAACAAGTAAGTCTAACATGATTTCCTGCATGTGATTATAACTCAAATAACTTTGATTATAACTTAAATAAATATTAATAATATAATTTTGTTTATAGAATTCTTATTACTATTTGCTGAGACGTTATCTAGAAAGTGTATATCCCGGATGCGAAGCCAAATCTATGTTTCTAAAATTAATTCAGAAAATTTCAGATCTTCATAGATTAAACAATGAAGTTGTCGGAGTATATCTTAATTTAAATCCGTCGAGCGTAGAACCACTTCTTATAGAGATATTCGACCTGAAACATTGATCGAACGTGTTCAACATAACGAATAGATATTAATTGTGTAACATTTTCGATTACTATCCCTTCAAATAGTAAAAGTAACGTAAAATCGTTATGGGTTTGCATTAATAGTCGCATGTTCATATAAATAATATATAGCAATAATATTGAAGAAAGGAACATTATGAATTATCAGAATTTGAATCGATGTATAGATATGTATGTGTACACACAAGCGCGCGCGCACGCATGCACGCACGCACGCGCACGCACACACACACACACACACACACACACGTTAATGTACATAAACTGTAATATTATTGTGTAACATTATATGAATGATACTGTCGCCAAAAGTTTAATCGTATCAGAATTTATATCTATGTTATATCATAGAGTATATTAAGATATCTATGTATGTATACCGGTATACAACAATGCCCCGTTAAAATGTTGGATCCACAAAATTGATATTAACAAATCCGCGGAAGGTTTTGATTTCTTTTGATTTCTTGTGTTCATCTCAACAAACCAAATGTCAGAGTACAAGATGCTTAAATCTGATGAACTATATAAGTCATTAATTCGGTCGACGAAAACTGAAATTTAAAAAATTGTTTACCTTGTTTCGATGAAAAGGATTTAATCGAACTAGTTTGAACTAAATAAAAATTAGAGACTCGGTATTAACGGAACATTATTTTAATTAATTTCTGTTGGAGTGTAAATGGATTATCGTAATTATATAAAGGAGCATTTTGCTTGTAAAATATTAGTACCACTACTAACCGTTGATATACTGAATTTTGTGACAAGCAGAGATTATAGTTCGAACAATCGTGAAAGTATCTCGTCGTATCACATCATTTTGTCGGGGATAAATGTGTACAGGTAACGCGTTAGCATAATAATAATTCTTAAAAACGTTATGTATATTTCGACAAACGTACCTTAAATTGTTAAATTTAGAGAAGATATTTGTTATACTAAAGCCAAGTTCTATACGTTCATGTTTAACGGATTGAAATATATAAACGGAAAAATATTTCTCTATGCGGAGATCACTTAAAATCACATAATGATAAACATGAATTCAGTGCTTGGTGAAAAGATATGAAAAAATCGATCCAAGCAAATGAACGCAGGATACGATCTGCATAATGTTCATTCGCATTACGAATGCTAGTATGTACATATTAAATTGTGATATCGAGTCAAAATATATTTTTCAGATACTTGTTACATTTGACTTTAAAGATATGTCATTTCATTCCTTTTACTATTATATCATTAATTAGTTTTTTTATTTTATAAATTATGAACGATTGAAAAATAAGTACCTTTTTTTATCTCAGTCGTCGTATTCAGATGGAAATCTATAACCAAGCATCTGTAGGATTATGATTATCAATAGGCAGGAAGATGTAACCAAAAAAGTCAAGCTGACGAGGAAAAGAAACATGTATCCTATTGTCTTAAGAATGAACAGAAAGGTGCAGAATAACCAATCCCAAATTGTTTTCAGTATCATTGTTTGTAATACTTAAAAATTTCTCAAAAACAAAAAAAAAGGAAGACTGGACGTGATCGATATATTATATACGATGTGCCATACGGACGACGAAATCTTTATCGACAAATTTAACAAATGAAAATGTCAATTGTTATATAATTAACAATAGGTTTATTCTTCCCCATCTCTATGTATCTGTTGCTGTTGAAAATATTTTATATATTTTAAAGATGTGTAAATATAAAAACCGCGTATAAAATATAATCTTTTTGTTTCTATTTGTGTTTCTATCTGTGATTACTGGTTACATTGGGCCAAGTTTCCCAACTTAGTCTCCTTTTGACTCACTCGAATCATTCGTTGCTCTCGGTTTTATATAATTCTTCCGCTTATATTGATGAAATACTTCGATGTTATCTTCGTAGGGTTTCGTAAAGAACCAATCGATTTCCTCCGCAGCAAGGTAACACGCACCCAATGCAGCTGTTGCTGTTAAGCGGATCATAGTTAATTCGTCCAGTGCGCGAGATTCATGAATTTCATCGATGAAAACGTCCTTCATAACATCCCATGATTTCCAAACCGATCCCACGCAGACAACCTTTAATCCACCCTTAGCTAACTTGAGATCCTAAAGAACCATATTTCTCGTACATAACACAATCAAACAGGATGCTTCTCAAAATTCTTCAAATTTTTCAAATTTTTATATGAATTTGCAAACCAGAATAAGCGACTCACATTATGGGCTTTTCTCGAAAGAGCTATAACATGCTTCGCGAGATATCTGCCATTTTCCGAAATAATATATAAACAGAGTGGATCTTTTTTCTCACAACCTGTCACAATCTCCTTGGCGAACATAGCAAAAATGCTTTTATCGAAATCTTTATAAAAATGCGGCAATATCTCTTTCCTATCAGTTACGTTGAAATAATGTCTCATAGCTGGCCATACGTAACTTATGGGTTTAGGAGCTGGAGCTAAGCCATCAATATCGTCGAATACGTATTTACAAGCTCTATGGGCGATCCAGAAAGCTGAAAATCCATCTTTTTTGTAATTACACCGCTGATGTTTATTATGCAAATTCATATTTTTGTGGACATAATTTAAAAAGTAGTATTTAAGCGTAGATTTGCTTCATCTAGTAAATGACCATAGAAAGAGAACACGATAAACAATTGTAGAATCACTAGTCAATTCTACATTACGTGTTTTGATATCTTATTGAATATTTCAAAGATGACGGTTTACAAAATTGCATAGATACGTTTCAAATTATCCTCTTTCCAACTATATATATGCATATATTAATCACCAAATGACAAAATAAAAAATCAACAAAAATCAATCTTCCGTGTTTTTCTTATACGTTCTTGAAATATGATAACGAATACTATACTTTGGATAATTTATATATCTTTACACGTTATATGCATTTTGTGCACTTTTGCGTCATTAAACTTCTCATAAATATATAAACACATGGATCTAGTAATAATTATACAAGAAAATAAATGGACGATCAAAAATAAAGAATTCTTCTATGTTAGAGTCTCAATGAAATATGCAAACTGTTCAAGGTCATATCTCTCCATCTTTATGAGTTATATATAAACAATTCCCATCACGTACCACTGCCTTCGTCCCCCATGAAATGTCCCCATCCGCCGCACCTTATGATTGTTCCATCTAAATTCATCAGCAATGCGTTGCTACCGGTGCCAGCGATTAGAACTATCCCACCGTTTGGCAAACCAGTTCTGAGACTACCAATGGCATCTGAATTGACATAATAAGCTTTAGCGACATTTGGATACTTCTCTTTCATCATTGCCGTAAGTTGACGATCGGTGCTTTCCTCTCCACATCCGCTTAGGGTAAGACCCTGATTGTTTAATCGATTAGAATTTCTTTAAAAATAAACAATTCATTTAATCCATCAAACGATAAGAACGATCGCTTATCATATGATCCTCTAGAGACTTATCTTCGAACTAGTCATAGGTATACATAGTTCTCAGGAATCGTGATAATTATTTTATATTTACCAAACAATCTAAAGGAATCAATTCAGATATTCCTATATTCTGTTTCCCTCTTTCGACCATAGCGTTGATTCTTGCAGTCGCTTCCGCTATTCCGAGTAACTGAGTAGAGAAATAAATCAAATAGTAAAAAGCGAAATAAAATAATTGTAAAAGAATTTTTAAACTAGTTATAAAACTTCTGTAACTTATTACTTTCTTACTTATATATGTAATCTGCATATTACGTAAGCTTACTTAAGAAGCTTAAGCTACCATAAGAATAATAGTATTTTATAATTATACATAAATTTTATATTTTATATATGGCTGATTGAGAATCATAATGGCGTAAGTTAATTCGTCGCTACCTTTTTCTATGTAAATCAAAGGGACGGTAATTATAAAAATTGAAATATACGATTATCATAATCAAAAAATGAATAAATAAAATAATTAAAAAAAGTAATAACAATAAAAATGAGAAATTAGTAGAAACGGGATGAATAATAATTGTTAAAAAGTTGGGTCAGTCAATTACCCAATGATTGGTGCTCGGCCCCTTGACTTCCGTCAATGGTGTCCCTTTGCCATCGATGATGACCAGCGTCGACTGCGTCCCGCCGCTGAGAATTATTAAATTTACGTCAATGTGTTAATCCGTTATTTTTTGATAGCTGGCGAAGTCTCTGAACCGTTTTCGATCATATGGTTATTTGTAGTGACAATAGGATCGTGCATGGGAAACTAGATACAAGTTAAAGCAGAAAGCATGTACGCCCTGTTAGAATTACTTAACGTAACCATGATCGAAATAGGTGACTTGGTTTCATTTCATTTACGTTTGAATTATACCGAGAAATTTGTAGAATAAAATTACATACGTCGTAATATTGAGTTTCTTAAGTTTGCAAAAAAATGTCTTCATGTTTTCACGTTAATTTTAATGAATAAAATAACGTGTAATTTGAATAATTCTTTGAACTGATTTGATTTTATATTTTGAATAAACCGAGTTTGCGATTGCAGTATAAAGATTTACTGGCAAATATACATTTGCCGATAATCATACAGAAAAATTGAAAAAATCTACTTCGAAATACTTCGTTCTCATGTTTACTATCATTTATACTATTAACAAACCTTTTCTTGTGGAAATTAATTCTTAACATGATTGCAAATACGAGATAATTAAATGTATTTTCTACAATATTATAAAACGACGATTTTATCCGAATGCGCCAGAATTAAAATCATGCGGTACATTTATGTACGTAAGCATAGAATACGATATGATAATATATTTTCATAAACAAGGATGATGGATGAATTCTAATTGGATCTTATCGGTGAGCATTAATGAGAAATACATTTATTAATCGCAACTGCTACTCCACGATACCGTTATTTAATTTTAGATAAGTAGCGCTAAAAACTTCTTAGTATTTTCAGTATGTAATACAAATTTCGAGAAAAGAACAAAAATAGGAAAAGGACAAAAAGAGATTACTCACCCATCGATGCCGCCAATTCTAATTTCTTCCGGATGTTCTGGTAGCTCTATCTTAGACATACTCTCTTTGTCGGATAATTCTGTTGGTCGTCTTTGTCTTCTCAACTCCCTACGAAGCTCAAATTCATCGATACGTTTCTGTTTTTCTTTCTTTCGTCCCCTTCTCCTTCCTACCATTTTTTTAATCAGACAATTTAAAATTTCTTTCGCTTGTGATTTCTTTCGTTGACAAAGGGATCCAGCAATTTGAGGGCGGGATTTAAACGAACATGCTTATCTGATAACGCACGAGTTGGGAAAAATAATTTAAACATTGCCAATTATTCTGTATTACGAATAAAATAGATCAACAGAAAACATATAGAAATATAATAAGAACTCTATATAATCTAGTATAATATTGAAATACATATTTCTTGTCTTGTCATACAAATTGTAAATATTTAAATTTCACTTATAAAATGAGACGTATATTAATCGACTAACGATATCGACATGTATACGCGTATGTACAATATACGTTTAGCATTTTCGTGTTGTGTCAACTTACTATGTATAAAGATTCAACGACTCTTGAGGTACGATTAAACGAGCATATGTCGGGCAAATATTAGACTTGTAGAGTAGTAACAGTAGTTGTATCGAGTAGCAACAGAGGCGGGAGAGATACGACGTGTACCGTGACTGCCACGATGACTGGTGCTCGCTGGATCAGTCTGCGAATCACTAGAGAATCGCTTTACTAAGTGAAGTTTGCTTTCGTTCGCTGCCGTTGCGTTTTTCATGTTCATTCATTGCATTTAGATGTTGCATTCACTTCAACTAATTGTAAATTCTGTGTTCTGTGAAATATCTAGGAAAGGGAGGGGATTTTCGACTTAATATCAACCTGAAAAGCTGACAGTTTGTCGACAACGTGTTCCTAACACTCTCCTGACTCCGGACATCGGTGAGGAGTCTTAGGTACTATATACAGGTGTCGCTACAGCGCGCAAATCACGAGCGCCACCTGATGGCAGCCGCCGAAATGATCACTTTCAGAAAAGTCACTAGACTATACCATCTACGTGAAAAGTCCGGCAAGTGTCGTATTCCGTGGTCGCGACACCGTGAGAGCCGCGCGGTGGAGACCGCACACTCTCGACTCTCGACTTCGGCAGTCGCTCAGAGAATAAAGCGAGTTGCATCGAAAACGCGAGCGAGAAAGGTGCCCCATATGTATCTCGTCCGGTGCGTCGCCGTCGGCCATTGTCTCTGACATGGAAGCCTATCAAAATGGCAGAGGTCGTGCAGATGTTTTTGTTCCTATATAAATCGAAATACCGTCGGAAAGGGCAGTGCCGTGAGGTGGTACGGGATCAGTGCGGTGTAATTGCAGTGTCGTGGCCGATACTGTGGGCGGCGCTGATCTGTTGGGTGGTGCACGTAACTGCGGCCGCCTCCTCCTCCTCGTCGTCGCTGACGACGGAAACGACCTGCGACACGGACAGTTGCGTCAACGGGGAATGTGTCAATGGCACCTGCGTGTGCCACGAGGGCTGGCAGGGCCTGGCGTGCCAATTCTGCGGCGGAAAAGTCAGGTAAGTGACGAAAAAATGTGCGAGTATAGATTACACGTCTCGTGCCCTATAGTATGCCAGCTTTCCAATACGAATACGATTATTGTATAGACTATCGTACATTTGATTTTCTACGAAGGAACTCATAGGGAAAACTATGAAATTATATGTATATCTGGAGATACGACGGGAGAAATAAACAGGAAGGTAAGATCGAATGCGCGAGCATGTCTTTCTCGCTTCTCTCATTTGAGGCCCATCTCATTACTAATCTCGTTATTATGTGAAATATTACACATAGGTGTTTCTAACAAATACATCGATAGAAGAAGTTTATACGAAATTATACGTGCCAAGATACGACTGGAGAAACAAACAGGCTAACTGTACATTCCGTGGTGCCTGTGCAACGGTATTGACGGGTTTTTAGGTCGACTCGGTCTATTCAGAGGCTTTGATCGTCTTCCTATAAACCCTTTTACCGAGGAGATACGTAAATAAATAGTGCAAGAGAGCGCGGAACGTGAGTACGCGCGACTTCCTCGGATTTAATTGCTGTGCCGTGTGTGCGCGTCTCATGGTCCTTCGTTCAGAAGAGGGATAGAAGAGGGGGTGTTCGGTCATTGTCTGCGGCCGTGGTTGACAATGAGGAGTTAGGAAGTAATCGGGACATTAGCGAATCTAACGGTGACGGTGACGGTGACGGTGACGGCGACAGTGACCGCGGAAATACACGACCCGTCGTATTTTAAGACTTAACTCGAGTCGGGAGATTAGATTTTGCGTGGATCGATCGCGACGGGTTTAAACTTGACAGGGAAACTACGGTTTCCGCCACTGTCAAGGCTGGTTTGATTTTTACGCGCGCTTAACGTAATAATCCCATCGTAAACGAACACCGACGATAATCATATTGGATAGGATCGAGTCGTGCGCTTCAGCGTACTTGTGCAATGTTTATTGTAAAATCGTACGTAGACACTCGAGAACACTCGACGTCTCTGTCATGCGTTGAGCAATTGCGGTGAAATCTGACGCGAACGTCGCTTGGGAACTACTCTCTCTTTGTCGCATTTTGTACTTTGCTTCGTTGTATCGGGATACAGAGAAGTTGATAACGGTCGCTCGAGTCCGAACACGTTGGGGTATCTGCATTGAAAAGCTACTAAACAATATTGTTTTTATATCTCAATTATCTCGTCAGAGTTTTCAATGTGACCGATTAGTAATTTTTATAGATTCACGACGAAGCAGTTTTACACAGTTTAACGAATTGTTCTATAATATGCGAATGAATGTTAGTGTTTCTCTTTACGTTATATAATTATCCGTATACCTTTCATTTGAATTCCACACGTTTTCTACTTTAGTCGCTGATAATCTTAGCGATCATCGAGATAATCTGTTATCTATATCGTTTAGATGCACAGTAAGCAGATGGTGCAACTTTTTTATGTAAAAATAAAATTAAAAAAAAATTGACTTTTCAACGTAAACACCCCACTGTGGACAGGTTACGTTTTTATGAAACGTATCACGAATACATACATACCATTTTCTCTAAGTTCTATAAATATTGTCTGGACTCGACAAAGGAACAGTTTCGGCAAAGAATTCCTAAAGATTCGCCTACGTGTGCCCGATCGTATTTCACCAATGAACACTATACATTATACATTGTACGTTACGCTCGCGTGCTTCGCGATAATACGTAGTATATATGTAGTATACTCCTGAAAAGTTCGAAGTCATATCTGGCTCGTGAACGGAGTTATGACACTTGGCTGACTGTAATTGGGTTATTTGAAATTTGAATTTTAACTTTGAACAAAACCGAAGAATACATTTTTAATATTGTTTTCTACGCACACGTATGTATGTGTGCCTGTTATATGATTTATACATGTTAAATACACGTACATATAATACATATAACTAAGAATTTATTTTCGCACTGGCATTATGCGCGATTTTTGTTAGCGATTATAATTCCTACCGTTTATGAAAATGTTATAAAATGAAATTTTATATGCAGCAATCGTTACTTAAAATCGTACATCTAGCAATTTAAATAGGTCTGAAAATCCATTTAAACGATTAAAGTTCATATAAAGAGATATAGTTTAATACTTCTTTATTTGATTCGTAATAAAAATGAAACGAAAGTTTTGGTAAAACGCTATTGTGTAATAAGGCAAGTGGATCGTAAAGGACCTAGTCATTATGGTTCGCGATCCGCGAATTTAACGACACCGATTGATCCGCGTAAAAATCTTGTGGTAGTGGACCTCACCTAGATCCGAAACTGTATGTTGTTTCAAAATTTCATCGTGCACTTGCGAATAATTGGTGTTGGAAATAATCGCGCCTTCGCGGCGGCATAAACACAAACCTACGTTCAATTAGAACGCAAAAGGAAAAAAAAGAGTGAGAAAGAAAAGAGGGCGTTTCTTAACCAGGAAAACAACCGTACACGCGCTTGACGCATCGTGTGCACCTATTATTCTATGCTTGTCACGGGGATTAACGAGAGGAAAATGCTTCGCGATATACCACATGGTGCTGAGTGCAGAGTGGTTTATTTATCGTTTTTATTTTCTCGTGTACGTGATCGCGACACGTGCCTCGAGGAATTCATCGAACGAAGTATCTATCGAATCATCGAACGTTTATGCGTGCGTGTGACAAAGTATATACGCGCTGTGTGGAAAAAAATCGATGTTGTTTAAACGCACTTCGTATAATGTTGCTCATCTGAAATGTAAACAGAATCCAGTTGTTAGTGCGATGGTGAATGAGCGGTGACGCGACTACGATGGTTCGTTAATCAGTTCTACCTCTGTTCGCGTCTTTGCTACGACTCGCTCTAATTTGAAGTGCGCGCGCGCTAATTGTCGGGGACATGCGTGTTTCCGTTTGGCCGCGTTTCGCACCTATGCAACTGGTCGACCGCATTATTTAAACGGTCTGTCAAACTGCTGCTCGTGGTTTACGTTAGCTTTGTTGACTGTCTCGAGTCGCGGTATGTGGAAACTTGAAGGTTGATCCATATTATATTCATATGTTAATACATATTATTAATATATATTATTAATAATACTACTAGTTCATGTCATATTAGCGTGAAATATAAGACCGGTATTTCACTATGTTATACAGCTTTACAAATGTATTTGTTACGAGGGTACCACTATTATAGTCGCAAATTTTAAGATAATCATAATATTAGTTGGCTAACTCTATGTAATACCTAGATCTGTTAGTCAATCTAGTCGATCTAGTTAGTCAAAGACTTTATGGTTTCTAGATGAGCGCATTCGACCATTAATGACCGACGATTATCAAGCGTATCATAATGCTTGCTAGGAAACTGTACTCTGTTTATTAATTACCATCGACGGCATTTATCAGCGATTTACCTTATGACAAGGTATCGTTTATACCGTCTCTCTGTCTCTCTGTAACTTAATATCATTTACTGGATCAACCGAATCGATAACCGATAAATGCATAAGATTGTATTACTCTCTGTCGCATACCTTATCGCGGCATTAATTATTGTCATTAAGTGTTAACTGCTGTTCGAAGTGAATTCGATCTCTTCCGAGTCCCAGATTAATGAACATTCGGTATAAGTTTGAAACGCTTACTCGTAGAGCTCCGATGAATATTATTTAAGTTTACAGATGCGCCCAGAATGGTTTACAAACGGTTGTTTTATCCTCTTTTGAGGTCTTCGTTATTCGTTCGATATTTCGTTAGTTTCATTATTCGTATTTCGTTATTTTGTTCGAGCAAAGTTTCGGCGAATGAAATTATTTCTACGAATCTTGAGAGGACATTATTGTCGCGTAAGTGTTCTAGTGTTATCTACAATTACACGTGTACGTTCGCCATTGTTGAGAGACGACGAGGAACTTTGGTTCTCACCTCGGCCCTTCCAGCCTGCTCTTCCCGTTTCCGCTCGAAGAATTTGTCCCATGTTGGCCCGCTCGCCGGCGTTGCTTCGCGTTGTTGTAACACGTGTATCTCCGGCTACCTAAACTGGCTCTGCGTTCTATGACTGTTTCGTTCCACCATCTAGATGTTGCGAGATGATAGTTCCTCGATCAGAACCAACCGAACTTGCTTGTTTACGGTTATTTTGCAACATGTTCAGACTATTTAACCCGTTATTTTATAATAACGATCAAATTGGTAGCAGCGATTAGTATTAGAAAGTGCAGTTGAGTCAAATTTCGACTTGGTCAAAATAGTAAAAATAACACAAAATGCATATAAATAATAGGTAAGATGTACAAAGTATAGTATTCGGTATAATATTTAATGGGTGAGGTAAATTTTTGCTTAGGTTCCATTCTGTAATTGTATATATTTATTGAAATATAAATTTGCGTAAACATTTATAGCTTACTTATCGATGTTAACGATGCTACCATTCAATGTTAAATTAGAAACTGAAGCAGCTTTTGAGATGAACGCAAAGTCACATGACTTATATATTAAGTTCTGTATTTAAGATTATAGATTATAGATTATAAAGATTATAGATTATAAAGATAAATGTCGTGCTAGACAATTAAATGTATTCTCGATCCTAGTATTAAATTCGAACATTGAGTCAAACGCCGAATCTCATACCGAGTCGATCGTTGTATATTCTCGACCAGATTTAAATGCTTGCACAAATGGTGCAGTATTTAGAGGACGAAGGGGAGGAGTTTATGGCCTGGGTGGCATTTAGAACGCTTCCAATTTCCCTAGACTACTTAAGCTTCTTGAACATACACGATGCTGGATTCTTCCGAATCGAATTGGAAGAAATTTACGACGATCCTGGAATCGCGAGAAAACTTTTCATATTCGAAATATCTTTCTATGTATTTCTCATATATGTTTTCCAAATATTTTCCTGATTAAGAAATTTGACTCCTTTGAAAAGTACAATGCCATCTACGTGTATTTAATATGCGTATAAATAATAACTTTCGTATTTGCATGATACGTATGCGTTTCTCTCTCTCTCTCTCCCTCTTAGTGCACCGTTTCTCATTATATAAATCAAAGTTTTTGTATGAAAACGGATAGATGTACGCAACAACCTGATTGCGTGTTTACTTCGTTGCACGACACGTACTACTAATATACATATGTAGGTAGAGGAGTTGCTGCCAGGTGAAAAGGGAATTCGCGTTTAGTCCCGGGACTACGGTGGACTCGTCAGTAAGGTTGTGCCCGGTAGTCCCTGCCTTAGACGTGGAGAGAGTCTCGCTAGGTGCGTTATTTGTATCGTGACACCGTATATTCGACTGCTAGCGAGACAGACAGACTCGTTGTCTGTCGTAGTAGCCCTCTGGTGTTGGCGATTGGTACCCGCGGATCGCCCGGGATGTGTTACGACCGCGTTGATGCCTCGACCTGTTGGCGTCCTGTTGGTGCCGATCCGCCACACATATTCTAAATGAAAAATAATTACACACGCGAAACCAATAGTCATCTTTGTTCATGATAATATGACAATCATTCCAGAGATTCTAATGTCTAAAATTTTTAATCGTAAAGAGCATTGTATAAAATCGATATATCTATATCTCTCTATATCTCTATATCGTATTCTCTATAGCGTACGGTGGGAATTTCTAATTCAAAGTTTAATCAACAGTTTGAAATTTAATCAACGATCGATTCAACACAGAATCGAGTGAAATATTAACTCAACGTATGTACGATTTAACTTGAGCTTAGAACTTACCGTAGGATTCAGGATTTATTTGAATTGGTGTTTATTTAAATATACAACCGTGAAATCTTCAAACCATCAATTGCCAATTTCGCTCGATGTTTTAACGAATATCCTTCATTTCAAATACTCAAGTGAAAAATAGTCTAAATTCATAAGTCGCCTCAACATTTGAATAGCCAGCCTGCGACACCTGACTCAACGTTTCAACGAGCATTCGTTTTATGCAGAATCGCGATCCATCGAATGATATTTCAGCTTTCGTTACAGGGTCACTCGTTCCATGTTGTTGAAACGCCACGAAGCTACCGGGCGCGACGACGTGGCGCGTGGACAAAAACCGGCTCGGGAACCGGTAGAATTCGATCACGCTCAGTGTGTTTCGCGTGGATACGGCACGACACAAATCTAGAAAGTAACTTGCCAATGCCCTCTTGATCGAAAATTGGCGAATTTCTGTGTCTTCCTTTCGCGTTGACGTAGCTTGCCAGCTATATGGCGGGAGTGCGATCAATGGCATCGTGCCGGTTTCCTCGGTGTGGTTTTATCCCTTCTATCTTATCATTGTATTACGAATCGACTAAAACTTTATATAATACTCATCCCGCTGGAATAACAGATATACCGAGAATCAGGAAACATCGCGAATGTTCGATAAAACCGTGAAGTTATTCGTTTAAGTTAATCAGTGTGATTATTTGAAGTAAATTATTTAAGTCCTTTCAGATGAACTTTTCATTCGATAATGTATGCAATAACGTAACTGTAAGGATTAGAAGGAATCCTCTACGATCGATCGATCGGAAATACCGCGTACATGCGAAGAAACAATGGATACGTATTTATTTGGCGGTAAATTAACCAGCTACCGCTACAATGACGACAATGGCGACAATGGTCCAAGAAAATGGCGCTCGGTTATTAACGAGTGCATCAATAAAACAGAATGTTAATTAAGCTCGGCACGTTTTTGAATTCGATCGATCGCTACTTAAATAGACAATTATCCGGCTATCGAACCGTGTAGATAATAGATACACTCTGTGGCTCGTGCAAATGTAAACACATTGAAATCATAACCCCAATTGTTCCAAGTTAATTAACCTATTAATTTATGCTTGCTCATTTTACTTTCTCTGGTCGATACGAATATTTGTAATATTTGCATATGAGAACATATTAGTTACGATCGGTTACTTGGCCTTCAGTTATTTACTCTAATTCTATATTTTATCTGAAAAATATATTCTGCCGTAGAAGTGGTTGGGGATTAAATTAAATGGTGTAATTAGAAGGTTAGTAAAATGAAAGAGTGAATTACAGGACTATCTACAAGTGGCATCATTTTTTAAATAAATGGAAAATCTGCAATTAGAAAATTAATAAAATTAAAAGAAGCTGGAACTTTAT